CTGACTGGCAGACTGACTGACTTGACAGACTGAACTGACTGACTGACTGCAGACTGACTGACTGGCAGACTGATGACTGACTGGCAGACTGACTGACTGGCAGACTGACTGACTGGCAGACTGACTGACTTGACTGACTGACTGACGTGACTGCAGACTGACTGACTGCAGACTGACTGACTGTCAGACTGACTACTGACTGACTGACTGGCAGGCTGACTGACTGGCAGGCTGACTGACTGGCAGCAGACTGACTGGCAGCAGACGGACTGGCAGGCAGACTGACTGGCAGACTGACTGACTGCGACTGACTGACTGGCAGGCAACTGGCAGGCAGACTGGCAGGCAGACTGGCAGACTGACTGCAGACTGACTGGCAGGCTGACTGGCAGACTGACTGGCAGACTGACTGGCAGACTGACTGGCAGACTGACTGGCTGGCTGACTGGCAGACTGACTGGCAGACTGACTGGCTGACTGACTGGCAGACTGACTGGCAGCTGACTGGCAGACTGGGCAGACTGACTGGCAGACTGACTGGCAGCAGACTGAGCTGGCAGACTGACTGACTGGCAGACTGACTGGCAGACTGACTGGCAGACTGACTGGCTGACTGACTGCTGACTGACTGACTGGCTGACTGACTGACTGACTGACTGGCAGACTGACTGACTGACTGACTGGCAGACTGACTGGCAGACTGCTGCTGGCTGACTGACTGACTGGCAGACTGGCAGACTGACTGGCAACTGGCTGACTGCAGACTGGCAGACTGGACTGGCAACTGACTGGCAACTGGCACTGGCTGACTGACTGGCAGACTGGCTGACTGGCAGACTGGCAGACTGGCTGACTGGCAGACTGGCAGACTGGCTGACTGGCTGACTGGCTGACTGGCAGACTGGCAGACTGGCAGACTGGCAGACTGGCAGACTGGCAGACTGGCTGACTGGCTGACTGGCAGACTGGCAGACTGGCAGACTGGCAGACTGGCAGACTGGCTGACTGGCAGACTGGCAGACTGGCTGACTGGCAGACTGGCAGACTGGCAGACTGGCAGACTGACTGGCAGACTGACTGGCAGACTGACTGGCAGACTGGCTGGCAGACTGGCAGACTGGCATGACTGACTGACTGACTGGCAGACTGGCTGGCTGACTGGCCAGACTGGCTGGCTGCTGGCAGACTGCAGACTGACTGGCTGCTGGCTGACTGGCAGACTGGCAGACTGACTGGCTGGCTGGCTGGCTGGCAGACTGGCTGGCTGTGGCTGGCTGGCTGGCTGGCTGGCTGGCTGGCTGGCTGGCTGCTGGCTGGCTGGCTGGCTGGCTGACTGGCTGACTGGCTGGCTGACTGGCTGACTGACTGACTGGCCTGACTGACTGACTGGCAGACTGACTGACTGGCACTGACTGACAGACTGACTGACTGGCAGACTGACTGACTGGCAGACTGACTGACTGGCAGACTGACTGACTGGCAGACTGACTGGACTGGCTGACTGACTGACTGGCTGACTGGCAGACTGACTGACTGCTGACTGCAGACTGACTACTGACTGACTGACTGGCAGACTGAGCTGACTGACTGGCAACTGGCTGACTGACTGACTGACTGACTGACTGCTGACTGACTGGCTGACTGGCTGGCTGGCTGGCTGGCTGGACTGGCTGACTGGCTGACTGCTGACTGGCTGCTGGCTGGCTGACTGGCTGACTGGCTGGCTGGCTGGCTGGCTGGCTGGCTGGCTGCTGGCTGGCTGGCTGACTGACTGCTGGCAGACTGACTGGCTGGCAGACTGACTGGCCCTGGCTGACGACTGGCTGGCTGGCTGGCAGACCTGACTGGCTGGCAGACTGGCTGGCTGGCAGACTGGCTGGCTGACTGGCTGGCTGACTGCTGGCAGACTGGCTGGCAGACTGGCTGGCTGACTGGCTGACTGGCTGACTGGCTGACTGGCTGACTGGCTGACTGGCTGACTGGCAGACTGGCAGACTGACTGACTGGCAGACTGACTGACTGGGGCAGACTGGCAGACTGGCATACTGACTGACTGGCAGACTGGCAGACTGAGCTGACTGGCTGACTGGCAGACTGACTGACTGACTGGCAGACTGACTGCAACTGACTGACTGGCAGACTGGCTGGCTGACTGGCAGACTGGCACTGGCACTGGCAACTGGCAACTGACTGGCAGACTGGCAGACTGGCTGACTGACTGGCAGACTGGCAGACTGGCTGACTGACTGCTGGCAGACTGGCAGACTGGCAGACTGGCAGACTGGCAGACTGGCAGACTGACTGGGCTGACTGGCTGACTGGCTGACTGGCTGACTGGCTGACTGGGACTGGCAGACTGGCTGGCGACTGGCTGGCAGACTGGACTGGCAGACTGGCATGCAGACTGGCAGACTGGCAGACTGACTGACCGGACTGGCATACTGGCAGACTGGCAGACTGACTGGCAGAGACTGGCAGACTGGCAGACTGACTGCAGACTGGCAGACTGGCTGACTGGCAGACTGGCTGGCACTGGCTGACTGCAGACTGGCAGACTGGCAGACTGGCTGACTGGAGACTGGCATGACTGGCAGACTGGCAGACTGGCAGACTGACTGGCAGACTGGCAGACTGGCAGACTGGCTGACTGGCTGACTGGCAGACTGGCTGACTGGCTGACTGGCTGACTGGCTGACTGGCAGACTGGCAGACTGGCAGACTGGCAGACTGCATGACTGGCTGACTGGCAGACTGGCAGACTGGCTGACTGGCAGACTGGCAGACTGGCAGACTGGCAGACTGGCTGGCTGACTGGCTGGCTGGCTGGCTGACTGGCTGGCTGGCACTGGGCTGGCTGGCTGGCTGGCTGGCTGGCTGGCTGGCTGGCTGGCTGGCTGCTGGCTGGCTGCTGGCTGGCTGACTGACTGGCTGACTGACTGACTGACTGCTGACTGCTGACTGACTGCAGACTGACTGGGCAGACTGACTGACTGCAGACTGGCAGACTGACTGACTGGCACTGACTGACTGGCAGACTGACTACTGGCAGACTGACTGACTGCAGACTGCTGACTGGCAGACTGACTGACTGGCAGACTGACTGACTGCAACTGGCTGACTGGCAGACTGGCTTGGCTGACTGGCAGACTGGCTGGCTGACTGGCTGACTGGCTGACTGGCTGACTGGCTGACTGGCTGACTGGCACTGGCTGGCTGACTGACTGCAGACTGGCAGACTGGCAGACTGGCAGACTGGCAGACTGGCTGACTGGCTGACTGGCTGACTGGCAGACTGGCAGACTGGCAGACTGGCAGACTGGTGGCAGACTGGCTGACTGGCTGACTGGCTGACTGGCTGACTGGCTGACTGGCTGACTGGCAGACTGGCAGACTGGCAGACTGGCAGACTGGCAGACTGGCAGACAGACTGGCAGACTGGCAGACTGGCAGACTGGCAGATGGCAGACTGGCAGACTGGCTGGCAGACTGGGCAGACTGGCTGGCTGACTGACTGCAGACTGGCAGACTGACTGCTGGCAGACTGACTGACTGGCACTGATGGCAGACTGACTGGCAACTGACTGACTGACTGACTGGCAGACTGACTGACTGACTGACGGACTGGACTGACTGACTGACTGACTGACTGACTGACTGACTGAGGACTGGCTGACTGACTGCTGGACTGACTGACTGACTGGCTGGCTGCTGCTGACTGCTGACTGACTGGCTGACTGGCTGGCTGGCTGGCTGGCTGGCTGGCTGGCTGACTGGCTGGCTGGCAGACTGACTGACTGGCAGACTGACTGACTGGCAGACTGACTGACTGGCAACTGGCAGACTGACAGACTGACTGACAGACTGACTGACTGACTGACAGACTGACTGACAGACTGACTGGCAGACTGGCAGACTGGCTGACTGACTGACTGGCTGACTGACAGACTGACAGACTGACAGACTGACAGACTGACTGACTGACAGACTGACAGACTGACAGACTGGCAGACTGACTGACTGGCAGACTGACTGACTGGCAGACTGACTGACTGGCAGACTGGCAGACTGGCAGACTGACTGACTGGCAGACTGGCTGACTGGCAGACTGACAGACTGACAGACTGGCTGACTGACAGACTGACAGACTGACAGACTGACAGACTGACTGACTGGCTGACTGACTGACTGGCTGACTGACTGACTGGCTGACTGACTGACTGGCAGACTGACTGACTGGCAGACTGACTGACTGGCAGACAGACTGACTGGCAGACAGACTGACTGGCAGACAGACTGACTGGCAGACAGACTGACTGGCAGACAGACTGACTGGCAGACAGACTGACTGGCAGACAGACTGACTGGCAGACAGACTGACTGGCAGACTGAGACTGACTGGCAGACTGACTGTGGCAGACTGACTGGCTGGCAGACTGACTGGCAGACTGACTGGCAGACTGACTGGCAGACTGACTGGCAGGCAGACTGGCAGGCAGACTGGCAGGCAGACTGGCAGGCAGACTGACTGGCAGGACTGACTGGCAGACTGACTGGCAGACTGACTGGCAGACTGACTGGCAGACTGACTGGAGAGACTGACTGGCAGACTGACTGGCAGACTGACTGGCAGACTGACTGGCAGACTGACTGGCAGACTGACTGGCAGACTGACTGGCAGACTGACTGGCAGACTGACTGACAGACTGACTGACTGACAGACTGACTGACTGCAGACTGACCTGGCAGACTGACTGACTGGCAGACTGACTGACTGGCAGACTGACAGACTGGCAGACTGACTGACTGGCAGACTGACAGACTGACTGACTGACTGACAGACTGACTGACAGACTGACAGACTGACTGGCAGACTGGCAGACTGGCAGACTGGCAGACTGGCAGACTGACTGACTGGCTGACTGACAGACTGACAGACTGACAGACTGACAGACTGACTGACTGACAGACTGACAGACTGACTGACAGACAGACTGACTGACTGAGACTGAACTGACTGACTGGCACTGGCAGACTGACTACTGGCAGACTGCTGACTGGCGACTGACTGCAGACTGACTGGACTGACTGACTGACTGACTGGCTGACTGACTGACTGGCTGACTGACTGACTGGCTGACTGGCTGACTGGCCTGACTGGCTGACTGGCTGACTGGCTGACTGGCTGACTGGCAGACTGGCGACTGGCAGACTGGCTGACTGACTGGCTGACTGGCTGGCTGACTGGCTTGACTGGCTGGCTGGCCTGGCTGGCTGGCTGGCTACCTGGCTGGCTGGCTTGCTGGCTGGCTGGCCTGGCTGGCTGGCTGGCTGGCTGGCTGGCTGGCTGGCTGGCTGGCTGGCTGGCTGGCTGGCAGACTGACTGACTGGCAGACTGACTGACTGGCAGACTGACTGGCTGGCAGACTGACTGACTGGCAGACTGACTGGCTGGCAGACTGACTGACTGGCAGACTGACTGACTGGCAGACTGGCTGGCTGGCTGGCAGACTGACTGACTGCAGACTGCTGACTGGCTGGCTGACTGGCTGACTGGCTGACTGGCTGACTGGCTGACTGGCTGACTGGCTGACTGGCAGACTGGCTGACTGACTGACTGACTGACTGACTGGCAGACTGACTGACTGACTGGCAGACTGGCAGACTGGCAGACTGACTGACTGACTGGCAGACTGGCAGACTGGCAGACTGACAGACTGACTGGCAGACTGGCAGACTGGCAGACTGACTGACTGACTGGCAGACTGGCAGACTGGCAGACTGACTGACTGACTGGCAGACTGGCAGACTGGCAGACTGACTGACTGACTGGCAGACTGACTGGCAGACTGGCAGACTGGCAGACTGACTGACTGACTGGCAGACAGACTGACTGGCAGACAGACTGACTGGCAGACTGACTGACTGGCAGACTGACTGACTGGCAGACTGACTGACTGGCAGGCAGACTGACTGGCAGACTGACTGACTGGCAGGCAGACTGACTGACTGGCAGGCAGACTGGCAGGCAGACTGGCAGACTGACTGGCAGACTGACTGGCAGACTGACTGGCAGACTGACTGGCAGACTGACTGGCAGACTGACTGACTGGGACTGACTGACTGACTGGCAGACTGACTGGCTGACTGACTGACTGACTGACTGACTGACTGACTGACTGACTGACTGACTGACTGACTGACTGACTGACTGACTGACTGACTGACTGACTGACTGACTGACTGACTGACTGACTGACTGACTGACTGACTGACTGACTGACTGACTGACTGACTGACTGACTGGCTGGCTGACTGACTGGCTGACTGGCTGGGCTGACTGGCTGGCTGGCTGACTGGCTGGCGGCGGCTGACTGGCTGGCTGGCTGGCTGGCTGGCTGGCTGGCTGGCTGACTGCTGCTGGCTGACTGGGTGGCTGACTGACTGGCTGGCTGGCTGACTGACTGGCTGGCTGACTGACTGACTGGCTGGCTGACTGACTGACTGACTGGCAGACTGACTGACTGGCAGACTGACTGACTGGCAGACTGACTGACTGGCAGACTGACTGACTGGCAGACTGACTGACTGGCAGACTGACTGACTGGCAGACTGACTGACTGGCAGACTGACTGGCAGACTGACTGGCAGACTGACTGGCACTGACTGACTGACTGGACTGACTGACTGACTGACTGACTGACTGACTGACTGACTGACTGACTGACTGACTGACTGACTGACTGACTGACTGACTGACTGACTGACTGGCTGGCTGGCTGACTGGCTGACTGACTGACTGACTGACTGGCTGACTGGCTGACTGACTGGCTGGCTGACTGACTGACTGGCTGACTGGCTGGCTGGCTGGCTGACTGGCTGACTGGCTGACTGGCAGACTGGCAGACTGGCAGACTGGCAGACTGGCAGACTGGCAGACCTGGCAGGCAGACTGGCAGGCAGACTGGCAGGCAGACTGGCAAGGCTGCTGGCAGGCAGAACTGGCAGACTGACTGGCAGACTGGCAGACTGACTGCAGACTGACTGGCTGGCAGACTGACTGCTGGCAGACTGACTGGCTGGCAGACTGACTGGCTGGCAGACTGACTGGCTGGCAGACTGACTGGCTGGCAGACTGACTGGCTGGCAGACTGGCAGGCTGGCAGACTGGCAGACTGGCAGACTGGCAGACTGGCAGACTGACTGGCAGACTGACTGACTGACTGGCAGACTGACTGGCAGACTGACTGGCAGACTGACTGGCAGACTGACTGGCAGACTGACTGGCAGACTGACTGGCAGACTGACTGGCAGACTGACTGGCAGACTGACTGGCAGACTGGCTGGCAGACTGACTGGCAGACTGACTGGCTGGCAGACTGACTGGCTGGCAGACTGCTGGCAGGACTGGCTGACTGACTGGCTGGCAGACTGACTGGCTGGCAGACTGACTGGCTGGCAGGACTGACTGGCTGGCAGACTGACTGGCTGGCTGACTGGCAGACTGACTGGCAGGACTGACTGGCAGACTGACTGGCAGGCTGACTGGCAGACTGACTGGCAGACTGACTGGCAGGCTGACTGGCAGATGACTGGCAGGCTGACTGCAGGCTGGACTGGCAGGCTGACTGCAGGCTGACTGCTGGCAGCTGACTGGCACTGACTGACTGGCAGACTGGCTGACTGGCAGACTGGCAGACTGGCAGACTGCTGACTGGCAGACTGGCTGACTGGCTGACTGGCTGACTGGCAGACTGGCTGACTGGCTGACTGGCTGACTGGCTGACTGGCTGACTGGCAGACTGGCTGACTGGCAGACTGGCAGACTGGCAGACTGGCTGACTGGCAGACTGGCAGACTGGCAGACTGGCAGACTGACTGACTGGCAGACTGGCAGACTGGCAGACTGACTGGCTGACTGGCAGACTGGCAGACTGACTGACTGACTGGCAGACTGGCAGACTGGCAGACTGACTGACTGACTGGCAGACTGGCAGACTGACTGACTGACTGGCAGACTGGCAGACTGGCAGACTGACTGAACTGACTGGCAGACTGGCAGACTGGCAGACTGACTGGCAGACTGAACTGACAGAGACTGACTGGCAGACTGACTGGCAGACTGACTGGCAGACTGACTGGCAGACTGACTGACTGGCAGACTGACTGGCAGACTGACTGGCAGACTGACTGACTGGCAGACTGACTGGCAGACTGACTGGCAGACTGACTGACTGGCAGACTGACTGGCAGACTGACTGGCAGACTGACTGGCAGACTGACTGGCTGACAGACTGGCAGACTGGCAGACTGGCTGACTGACAGACTGGCTGACTGGCAGACTGGCTGACTGGCAGACTGACTGACTGGCAGACTGGCTGACTGACAGACTGACTGACTGACTGACAGACTGACTGACTGACTGACTGACTGACTGACTGACTGACTGACTGACTGACTGACTGACTGACTGACTGACTGACTGACTGACTGACTGACTGACTGACTGGACTGACTGACTGACTGACTGACTGACTGACTGACTGACTGACTGACTGACTGACTGACTGACTGACTGACTGACTGACTGACTGACTGACTGACTGACTGACTGACTGACTGACTGACTGACTGGCTGACTGACTGACTGGCTGACTGACTGATGACTGACTGGCTGACTGGCTGACTGACTGACTGGCTGACTGACTGACTGACTGACTGACTGACTGACTGACTGACTGACTGGCTGACTGACTGACTGGCTGACTGACTGACTGGCAGACTGACTGACTGGCAGACTGACTGACTGGCAGTGACTGACTGACTGGCAGACTGACTGACTGGCAGACTGACTGACTGGCAGCTGACTGACTGACTGGCAGACTGACTGACTGGCAGACTGACTGACTGGCAGACTGACTGACTGGCAGACTGACTGACTGCAGACTGACTGACTGGCATGACTGACTGACTGGCAGACTGACTGACTGGCAGACTGACTGACTGACAGACTGACTGCAGACTGACTGGCAGACTGACTGACTGGCAGACTGACTGACTGGCAGACTGACTGACTGGCAGACTGACTGGCAGGCAGACTGACTGGCAGACAGACTGACTGGCAGACAGACTGACTGGCAGACAGACTGACTGGCAGGCATGACTGACTGGCAGACAGACTGACTGGCAGACAGACTGACTGGCAGACTGACTGACTGCAGACAGACTGACTGGCAGACAGACTGACTGGCAGACAGACTGACTGGCAGACAGACTGACTGGCAGACAGACTGACTGGCAGACAGACTGACTGGCAGACAGACTGACTGGCAGACAGACTGACTGGCAGACAGACTGACTGGCAGACAGACTGACTGGCAGACGACTGACTGGCAGACTGACTGGCAGACTGACTGGCAGACTGACTGGCAGACTGACTGGCAGACTGCCTGGCAGACTGGCTGCAGCAGACTGCAGCAGACTGGCAGCAGACTGGCAGGACTGGCAGGCAGACTGGCAGGCAGACTGGCTGACTGGCTGGCAGACTGGCAGACTGACTGGCAGACTGACTGACTGACTGGACTGGCAGACTGACTGGCAGACTGACTGGCAGACTGACTGGCAGACTGACTGCAGACTGACTGGCAGACTGACTGGCAGACTGACTGGCAGACTGACTGGCAGACTGACTGACTGGCATGACTGACTGACTGGCAGACTGACTGACTGGCAGACTGACTGACTGGCAGACTGACTGACTGGCAGACTGACTGACTGGCAGACTGACTGACTGGCAGACTGACTGACTGGCAGACTGACTGACTGGCAGACTGACTGACTGGCAGACTGACTGACTGCAGACTGACTGACTGGCAGACTGACTGACTGGCAGACTGACTGACTGGCAGACTGACTGACTGGCAGACTGACTGACTGACTGACTGACTGGCAACTGACTGACTGCAGACTGACTGACTGGACTGACTGGACTGACTGACAGACTGACTGGACTGACTGACTGACTGGCAGACTGACTGACTGGCACTGACTGACTGACTGACTGGCAGGCTGACTGACTGGCAGGCTGACTGACTGGCTGACTGACTGGCAGACTGACTGACTGGCAGGCTGACTGACTGGCAGACTGACTGCCTGGCAGGCAGACTGACTGGCAGACTGACTGAGACTGGCAGACTGACTGGCAGGCTGACTGGCTGGCAGGCACTGACTGACTGGCAGGCAGACTGAACTGGCACAGACTGGCAGGCAGACTGACTGGCAGGCAGACTGACTGACTGGCAGACTGACTGGCAGACTGAGACTGACTGGCAGACTGACTGGCAGACTGACTGACTGGCAGACTGACTGACTGACTGGCAGACTGAACTGACTGACTGACGCATGACTGACTGGCAGACTGACTGGCAGACTGACTGGCAGACTGACTGGCACTGACCTGGCAGACTGACTGACTGACTGACTGGCACTGACTGGCAACTGGCTGACTGACTGGCAACTGACTGGGACTGCCTGACTGATGCTGACTGGCAGGCTGACTGACTGGCTGACTGACTGACTGACTGCAGGTGACTGACTGGCAGACTGGCTGGCTGACTGGCTGACTGCTGGCTGGCTGGCTGGCTGGCTGGCTGGCTGACTGGCTGGCTGGCTGCTGGCTGCTGACTGGCTGACTGACTGACTGACTGGCTGACTGACTGACTGGCTGGCTGACTGACTGACTGACTGACTGACTGACTGGCAGACTGACTGACTGGCAGACTGACTGACTGGCAGACTGACTGACTGGCAGACTGACTGACTGACTGACTGGCAGACTGGCTGGCTGACTGGCAGACTGACTGACTGGCAGACTGACTGACTGGCTGACTGACTGACTGGCAGACTGCTGACTGACTGGCTGACTGGCTGACTGCGACTGGCTGACTGGCAGACGACTGACTGGCTGACTGGGACACTGGCAGACTGACTGACTGGCAGACTGCTGTGGCAACTGACTGACTGGCAGACTGACTGACTGGCAGACTGACTGACTGGCAGACTGACTGACTGGCAGACTGACTGACTGGCTGACTGGCTGACTGGCAGACTGACTGACTGGCTGGCAGACTGACTGGCAGACTGGCTGACTGGCAGACTGGCTGACTGGCTGACTGGCTGACTGGCAGACTGGCTGACTGGCTGACTGGCTGACTGGCTGACTGGCAGACTGGCAGACTGGCTGACTGGCAGACTGGCTGACTGGCTGACTGGCAGACTGGCAGACTGGCAGACTGGACTGGCAGACTGGCAGACTGGCAGACTGGCTGACTGGCAGACTGACTGACTGCAGACTGGCAGACTGGCAGACTGGCAGACTGGCAGACTGGCAGACTGACTGGCAGACTGGCAGACTGACTGACTGACTGGCAGACTGACTGACTGACTGACTGACTGGCAGACTGACTGACTGACTGGCAGACTGGCAGACTGACTGACTGACTGGCAGACTGGCAGACTGACTGACTGGCAGGCACTGACTGGCAGACTGACAGACTGACTGACTGACTGGCAGACTGACTGACTGGCAGGCAGACTGGCTGGCAGACTGACTGACTGGCAGGCAGACTGGCAGGCAGACTGACTGGCAGGCTGACTGGCAGGCAGACTGGCAGGCAGACTGACTGGCAGGCAGACTGGCAGGCAGACTGGCAGACTGGGCAGACTGGCAGACTGACTGGCAGACTGACTGGCAGACTGACTGGCAGACTGACTGGCAGACTGACTGGCAGACTGACTGGCAGACTGACTGGCAGACTGACTGGCAGACTGACTGGCAGACTGACTGGCAGACTGACTGGCAGACTGACTGGCAGACTGACTGGCTGACTGACTGGCAGACTGACTGGCAGACTGACTGGCAGACTGACTGGCAGACTGACTGGCAGACTGACTGGCAGACTGACTGGCAGACTGACTGGCTGACTGACTGGCAGACTGACTGGCTGACTGACTGGCTGACTGACTGGCTGGCAGACTGACTGGCAGACTGACTGACTGGCTGGCAGACTGACTGGCAGACTGACTGACTGGCTGGCAGACTGACTGGCAGACTGACTGACTGGCTGACTGACTGACTGGCAGACTGACTGACTGGCTGACTGACTGACTGGCAGACTGACTGACTGGCTGACTGACTGACTGGCTGACTGACTGACTGGCAGACTGACTGACTGGCTGACTGACTGACTGGCAGACTGACTGACTGCAGACTGACTGGACTGGCAGACTGACTGACTGGCAGACTGACTGACTGGCAGACTGACTGACTGGCAGACTGACTGGCCTGGCAGACTGACTGGACTGGCAGACTGACTGACTGGCAGACTGACTGACTGGGCAGACTGACTGACTGGCAGACTGACTGACTGGCAGACTGACTGACTGGCAGACTGGCACTGACTGGCAGACTGACTGACTGGCAGACTGACTGACTGACTGACTGACTGACTGGCTGACTGACTGACTGGCAGACTGACTGACTGGCAGACTGGACTGACTGGCAGACTGACTGACTGGCAGACTGACTGACTGGCACTGGCTGACTGACTGGCAGACTGACTGACTGGCACTGACTGACTGGCAGACTGGCTGACTGACTGGCAGGCTGACTGACTGGCAGGCTGACTGGCAGGCAGACTGACTGACTGCAGGCTGACTGGCAGCAGACTGACTGACTGGCAGGCTGACTGGCAGGCAGGACTGGCACTGGCAGGACTGGCAGGCAGACTGGCAGACTGGCAGCAGACTGGCAGACTGGCAGGCAGACTGGCAGACTGACTGGCAGACTGGCAGACTGACTGGCAGACTGACTGGCAGACTGACTGGCAGACTGGACTGGCAGACTGACTGGCAGACTGACTGGCAGACTGACTGACTGCAGACTGACTGGCAGACTGACTGGCAGACTGACTGGCAGACTGACTGACTGGCTGACTGCAGACTGACTGGCAGACTGGACTGACTGGCAGACTGACTGACTGGCAGACTGACTGACTGGCAGACTGACTGACTGGCAGACTGACTGACTGGCAGACTGACTGACTGGCAGACTGACTGACTGGCAGACTGACTGACTGGCAGACTGACTGACTGACTGACAGACTGACTGACTGGCAGACTGACTGACTGGCAGACTGACTGACTGGCTGACTGACTGACTGACTGATGACTGACTGGCTGGCAAGACTGGCACTGACTGGCAGACTGACTGACTGACTGACTGGCAACTGACTGGCATGACTGACTGGCTGGCAGGCGGACTGGCAGGCTGACTGGCAGACTGACACTGCAGGCTGACTGGCAGGCAGACTGGCAGACTGGCAGGCAGACTGGCAGGCAGACTGGCAGACTGGCAGGCAGACTGGCAGACTGACTGGCAGACTGACAGACTGACTGAGACATGGACTGACTGGCAGACTGACTGGCAGACTGACTGGCAGACTGACTGGCAGACTGACTGACTGGCAGACTGACTGGCAGACTGACTGGCAGACTGACTGACTGGGCAGACTGACTGGCTGACTGGCTGGCAGACTGACTGCTGGCAGACTGACTGGCAGACTGGCTGGCGACGGACTGGCAGACTGCTGACTGGGCAGACTGACTGAGACTGACTGACTGGCAGACTGACTGACTGGCAGACTGACTGACTGACTGACTGACTGACTGGCATGACTGACTGACTGGCGACTGACTGACTGGCTGACTGGACTGACTGGCTGACTGGCTGACTGGCAGACTGACTGACTGGCAGACTGACTGCTGCAACTGACTGACTGGCAGACTGACTGGCAGACTGCTGGCTGAGACTGAACGGCAGCAGACTGACGGCAGACTGGGCTGACTGGCACTGCTGACTGGCTGACTGGCAGACTGGCTGACTGGCTGACTGGCTGACTGGCAGACTGGCAGACTGGCAGACTGGCTGACTGGCTGACTGGCAGACTGGCAGACTGGCAGACTGGCAGACTGGCAGACTGGCAGACTGGCAGACTGGCTGACTGGCAGACTGGCAGACTGGCCAGACTGGCAGACTGGCTGACTGGCAGACTGGCAGACTGGCAGACTGGCAGACTGGCAGACTGGCAGACTGGCAGACTGGCTGACTGGCAGACTGGCAGACTGGCAGACTGGCAGACTGACTGGCAACTGCAGGACTGACTGGCAGACTGGCAGACTGGCAGACTGGCAGACTGGCAGACTGAAGGCTGGCAGACTGACTGACTGCAGACTGACTGACTGACTGGCAGACTGGCAGACTGACTGGCTGACTGGCAGACTGGCAGACTGACTGACGGCAGGCAGACTGGCAGACTGGCAGACTGACTGACTGGACAGACTGGCAGGCAGATGACTGACTGGCAGACTGACTGGGGCTGGCTGAACTGGCTGCAGACTGGGCAGACAGACTGACTGGCAGGCTGACTGGCAGGCAGACTGGCAGACTGGCAGGCAGACTGGCCTGACTGGCAGACTGGACTGGCAGACTGACTGGCAGACTGGACTGGCAGACTGACTGGCAGACTGACTGGCAGACTGACTGGCAGACTGACTGGCAGACTGACTGGCAGACTGGACTGGCAACTGATGGCTGACTGACTGGCAGACTGACTGCACTGACTGGCAGACTGACTGGCAGACTGACTGGGACTGGCTGACTGACTGACTGGCTGACTGACTGGCTGGCAGACTGACTGGCACTGACTGACTGGCTGGCAGACTGACTGGCAGACTGACTGGCTGGACTGGCACTGACTGACTGGCAGACTGACTGACTGGCTGGACTGACTGACTGGGCTGACTGACTGACTGGCAGACTGAACTGACTGGCTGACTGACTGACTGGCAGACTGACTGACTGGCAGACTGGCACTGACTGACAGACTGACTGACTGGCAGACTGACTGACTGACTGGCAGACTGACTGCAGACTGAACTGACTGACACTGGCAGACTGACTGGACTGGCAGACTGACTGACTGGCTGACTGAGACTGACTGGCAGACTGACTGAGACTGCACTGACTGGACTGGCAGACTGACTGACTGGCAGACTGACTGACTGGCAGACTGACTGACTGGCAGACTGACTGGACTGGCAGACTGACTGACTGGCAGGCTGACTGACTGGCACTGACTGACTGCAGGACTGACTGACTGGCAGCTGACTGACTGGCAGGCTGACTGACTGGCGGGACTGACTGGCAGGCAGACTGACTGGCAGGCAGACTGACTGGCAGACTGACTGACTGGGCAGGCAGACTGACTGGCAGACTGACCTGACTGGCAGACTGACTGACTGGCAGACTGACTGGCTGACTGGCAGACTGATGACTGACTGACTGGGCAGACTGACTGGGCAGACTGACTGACTGACTGACTGAGGACTGACTGGCAGAACTGACTGGCAGACTGGCACTGGCACTGACTGGCAGAACTGACTGGCAGACTGACTGAACTGACTGGCAGACTGACTGCAGACGGACTGACTGACTGACTGACTGGCAGACTGGACTGGCAGACTGACTGACTGACTGACTGACAGGCTGACTGGCTGACTGACTGACTGACTGACTGGCAGACTGACTGACTGGCTGACTGACTGACTGA